TTCTTTGAGGGTTTTTTTTCTTTTTTTCATTTCTGTACTGTGCTTTTAATCTCACTATTATACTTGCTGTTTGCAGAGCTGGCTTTTTCTAACTTCAGATTGTACTTTGTTTTTCTACTTGCCAGTCCTCTAGTAAACTGTGACAACAATCTTCTGCAGTCCAATCAAGTGAGGACAGACCCATGTTTCTCTTATCTTTCTGTGGTTTCATTTTTCTGCTTGTTTAGTCTGAGCTGTGTCAGGAACTTCTGCAGTGTATCTCATATCTCAGCCTAGGAAATGGTTCATTGCATGTTTTCTCAGAGACAGCTGGGCACATTATAGGGGTGGTTCCCTCTGCGTAGCACTTAGGCAATTTGCTTTTACATCTCCCAGGACAGATGGAGAGTGTCAAAATTAATAATTCACAATATGTATAGTTTTTGATCCTTTCTCCTAGGCGGCTTTCCATTGTGTGAAGTACCTGAGAATAACAAAGGAGAAAAGGTGTACTTGGGCTCCCAATTTCCAAGATTTTAGTCAGTGATCAGCTGGCTCCATTGTTAGGGGCCTGGCATGAGACAGAACCTCACAGTGGTGGGAGTATTGGCAGAAGAGGATGCTCTGCCCATGGCCGCTGGGAAGGAGAGTGAGAGAACCAGAAACGAAGCAGTTGAGGACAAGACAGATCTTTCACAAGCAAGCCCCTGGTGACCTACTTCCTGGAACTTGTTCCCATCCCCTAATAGCCTTTTCAGCTTGGATTCCATGGATGATTATGATTCTTGTGATCCCATCACCCCTCTACACTCCACTTGTGAACACTGCTACTTTAGTGATCAAGCTTTCAACACAAGGCCTTTTGGGAGACATTAGAAGTCCAAACCATGATATCCTGTCTAGATGGAGACATATTTGCATATTGTTCAGAAATACCTTTTGTGTGTTCAGAAACAACTTGATGAAGAGAAGCTCAATAAGGAGCTGGGAGTTGGAACAAAGGCCATAGGAAAACTAGATTGGGAAAATGAGTGAGAGAAACTGAAATTTGTCAGCAGTCATTAGCTCAGAAAGTTTCTAACTGCTCACTGTACAAATTAATGCTTGGATAGTGGGATAGCAAAAATGTTATTTGCTTATATTATGTTCATGTGATTCATAGGACTCAGAAGTTGTTTGCATTTATATTCATAATTGAGTTTACATTCAGTCTGTGGTTGATGCTGGAAAGATGATAGGAAGATGGATCATTCTGAAATCCCCTACTGTCCTCTGAGGAGAAAAGAGGAAATGAGTGTTCTCTTTCTTAAGCTGTTCTGCATTAACAGTGGAATAGGAACTCTTGTCTAAAGTGTCAGAAGCAGATAACTGCATTTGGGGGGTGGTGTTCTTCATAAATTTTATGTGGGCTTTAGTTGCAGTGGCTCCAGTTGAAGAGTGATGGGGTTTTATCTGTCTAGAAATATCAGAATGGTTTTATTCCTCGGGTCTAACTCTTTGTCCTAGTGTATAATTATAATACAATGTGTATATTTAAAAAAACATTCAGCATGTTTTGAAATGTTGTGTTGAAATGACTTTAAACTGTCATTTACCTCCTTGATCTTGTTTAGGGCCAGTTCTTACAAATTCCTTCTCCTCTTCTCTGACCCTTATAATTGAGTCAATTACTAGAACAAAACAAACACCAAAGCCTGTGTATCACTGTTCTTTGGGATAGTTATTAAGTTCAGCATTTGTATAATATTATTTCCTTATTGCACCTTAATAAAAATACACTATATTATAAAATATCTAATATTCTTTAAGAATTCCAAAAGATTAAATAAGAATATTATAAAAAGGACTGAAATAGCTCCTAAAACACTACTTTATATTCTCATGAAAAAACTCTACCTGTAGGGATTTTTCAATCATTCAGTTTTTTATTTTAGAATTATTTTTCCTAATATAGCTTATTAGCTTTTAGTCAAACTAGATATAAATAAATAATTATCCATCATTTAGAGGTAAAGTCATTTGATACCTCTATGGAGTGCACTTTCAATGTTAGTCAAAACCCTGTTTCCTTTCTAATGGATTCAATAAAGGTAAGTGCTTTATACATAGATTTAAGTGCATAAATCAGAAGCTCTGAGAACTAAATTGCTTATCATCCTACCCTCTGATATTCCTTTTTCATTGACAGATCTCTTTAGAAAATGCTGACTTGGGCCAGTGAGACAGCTCAGAGGACTAAGCGTCTGCATAGGCAAGCACAAGGACTGGGGTTCCATTCCTGGTACCACATGCCATGCCAGCCCTGGTGACTGAGTCTGGGTGTGGCGGCGCATGCCTGTAATCCCAGAGCTGGGAAGGCTGAAAACTGGAGGATCTGTATAGTGAGAACCTGTACAAAGTACAGAGAGAAAGAAAGAAAGAGCGAGCTGAGTTATTGAAAAACTTTGCTGTTGTTTCTATTGCCAAACCCAGGAATGCATCTTATCTGGACTTCCTTACACTCATGATGAGTAAGAGGAGACCAGGCCTGGATGGCAGTTAACACTTAGTTTGTGTCAGAGACAGATCTGTGTGGAAATAGGCTTGATTTAGAAAAACAAAAAATGAAACAGTGATAAATTCAGTGGGTCTCTTTTATAGTCAAAAACCAGAATTTAATTGTTTAACTCAGACCTGAAAGACCTAGTCTCTCTATTTTAATAAAAGTAGAAAATGAATTGTTGTAGGTAATGTATATTAAATATCTTAAAACATGGATTTTTAAAAAAATTTTATTTTAGGGAAAAGTCTACAAGATGTTCAGGGTCTCACTACTAGATCGAACTTGTAGTGATTCATCTGTTTACAGCCTACCAAGAGCTTAGATTACAGGCGTACATCACCACGTCCAGTCTCAATTGCTGTCTCAGTGCACCCCAGGGGCGGGACAGCACAGCAGGCCCAGGGATTGAAACCTAGGTCCCTGTGCCTGCTTGCAGGCACTTTAATCCACTGAGCTATTTGGCTGGCCCGGTGTATTTTTTCTGTTGAGCTATATTTCTTGCCACCTGTTTTGAGTTTTTGAAATTAATGAGCTTGGAGAAAATGGAATCTGTTTTCCAGATTCTGTAAAACAACAACTTCTTATATATGCTTGGCTAATCAGGTCTTTTTCTTGCCATTGTACATAAATGGCCCTTGGTGCTGGAGTCCTCTGGAGGCTATCGGGCTTGTTAGAATGGGGATAGGAAGAGTAGAGGAAGTGAGGGACCTCTGGCCTTCCCATGTAGTCTCAGGACTCCTCATAGTTCTCTCTAACAAGTGACCAGCTAAAAGTAAGCATTTCAAAGCAGAGGAAACTGCAGTTGCCGGACCTTTTAAAGATGATGCCTGGGTCTCACATGACATATTTTCACTACTTTCTATTGGTTACTGTAAATTACAGGCCTAACCATTATCAAACTAAGAGGAAAGAAGAAAGTGAGGCCGAGTCTGTGAAGCTATTTTTAAAGATGAGCTATCACAGGAGTATATCTGAAAATACTTCATTTTAACCTGCAATGTCAGTACTCTGGGAGGCTGAGGAAAAAGGATTGCAAGTTTGAACCCAGTATGGCCAATTTAACAAGACTGTCTCAAAATAAAAATATATTTTAAAAGGCCCAGGAACATAGCTCAGTGGGAAAACCCTGAGTTCAATCCCCAATACAAAAGAAGGTAAACAAAACCTTCCTTTTAGACTTTAGACCATTCAAGGGGTGATCCAAAAGTACAGTGAATGTTTAAAAATTTATTAAAGTAAAAGACACATTTGCATTAATTCCTCCTCAAAATACTCCTTGCTTCAAACACACTCTACCATTCTTGCCACTTTCTGAAGCAACTCTGGAAGTCCTCTTTCTTGAGTGTTGTGCAGTATGATAAAAATAGGGTAAAAGTTCCTGCTAAGTACCATCCAATGGAGAGACAAGCTTGTGAAAACATTCTGGTGTGTCCTCGTCCACCTTATTTACCAGATGCGGCACTGTGTGGCTATTGGCTCTTTTGCAAGTCAAGGTGACCATGATAGGTAAACATTTTGAGTTAATTCAGGATGTCAAGGCACAATAGTGCATCTAAAAATACCAAAGAGGACTTTGGGAACTGTTTCAGAAAGTGGAGAGAATGGAATAAGTGTGTTCTAAGTAAGATGGGTATTTCAAAGGAAAATTAATGGCTTTGTGTCCTTTATTATAATACATTTAAAAAAAATTTTTAAATATATTTTCAACCATGCTTCAGCCCATAGTGGTTAAGAAGGCCCATAAAATAGAGGCTGCCACCATCAGCACTTCAGCTATTTGAGTCTTCATCAAAACTAGGCCAGGCATTTATTTATTTTTATTTATTTCTTATTTATTTATTTATTTGTATTTCATACAGAGTCTCACTATCCAGCTTGGACTCGTAGTGATCCTCCTGTTTTCAGCCTCCCAAGTGCTGAGATTACTGGGTGCGCACCACCAGGCATTTCAGTGTTTCCTGATGAGGAAGGGGTATTCTCAGGGAGAATGAGGACTCTGTAGGCTAGATATTAACATGAGTGCATCCCTCAGGCTGGTTTTGCCTACTCAGTCTGTGTCTCTAGGCAGAACAATGGACAGATAAACAGAGAGAAAGGAGAGCATATTCCTGGGTTGGTCATTGCTTGAGGGCAGGGACAGTTCTGCTTTTTATTCTTGGCTGGTGGCACTTAGTGTTAGAGCACTTTCCTAGCATGCATGAGTTCCTGGGTTCTATCCTCAGCAAAAAAAAAAAAAAAAAAAAGAGGAAACCAACAATTGCAGTGACAGGAACCTTCCAGATAATCATATCTAACCTCTAACCCTTGAGCTTAGGCTTCTGTCCCTTCTTTTGGCACAGTCCCCAGCAAGCTGGAAACAGAACTCTACTTTTATAAAGCCAGAAACAGCAGATTCCTCTTCTGACAATGTCTTGTTGAGCAAGTGCCCTGTGATTGCTCACGTTTATTGGTTCTGAGTTTCATCAGATTTTTGTTGCAGAGCGTGCCAATAGAAGCATTCACCAATTAAAATGTGCCCTGAAAGAAGGTGATGACACTGTTGAAGAAGAAGCCCTGGATCCTTCCTTTAGCATCAATGTAGGACGTGAAGACAGTGAGACAGCCTGGCAGGAACTGCAACATAGCCATGCCGGTGAGTACAAATGTCAGTCCTACCCTTTTTTTTCTAAGTTAGATTTTCTATTTTGAGACAAGCTCTTACTTACTACATTCTTAAGTGGTCTAAGCTGGACTCAAACCTGTGGTTCTCCTTCCTTGGCCTCATATAGTGTTGGATTCCAAGTGTGCTCTATCAGCCCTAGATAATTCTTAGTTCTTAGAGGGTAGGATTTTTTATTTATATCCCCCATCAGTAGCTCAGTTCTTGATGCGTAATAGAACCTTAAGCAGTATTTGTTAGATACCTGTAAGATAGGTAAAGATAAACCGTACTACTCTTTTTTCTGTCACTATAACAAATATCCAAGATAGGTCAACTTAGAAAGGTTTATTTAGGCTCAGAATTTTGAAGGTCTCATTTCATGATTCACTGGCCCTTTGCTTTGGACTTCTGGTGAGATAGCACATGCTGGAAGTACTAGTGGAACGAAACCCACTTGTCAGTGGCCAGGAAGTGAAACAGAGAAAAAGAGGCCAGGGTCCTGATCGCCCCTTCAAAGGCACCCTTTCTATATTAATAAGCTTTCTTATGGCTGAAATATAAATCCCAATGCTTCCAGTTTAAAGGAAGAGAGGTTTAATTTGCTCATGGTTTCCGTCCATGATTAGCTGGCTCAGAGATGCCATGGTGGAAGGGCACAACAGAGCAAAGTTTGTTAGCTCATGGTGGCTGGGGAGCAGAGCTGAAGGGATGAGGGAGCAGACACAGAGCTCAAGGCCACTCTCCCAACCAGACACACCTAGAGGTATGCCACACCAGTCACCAAGGAAGATCCCAAAGCTAATCAAGTTGATACTTTGCCCTAACCTCAACACCCACAAGGCATATGTCTAAAGGTTCTACCACCTTCCAGTCCTGTAAGCCAGGGACTAAGCCATTGACACATGGTCCTTTAGGGACATTTCAGATTTGAACTATATCATAAACCAAGGATATCAATCGGGGTTAATAAACACATTTGTTTATTCTGTGCAGTTAATCAGCTCAAAGCTTTGTTGCATCAACAAGCAAATAAGGAAAATGAGATATCTCCATCAAGAAGACGAAAAATGTCCCCTTCGGTAGGTAAAGCGTTACTTTCCTATGTGTGTTTTGTAGTGTGTGTTATAGACAGTCTAGAAGATATAAACAATAGAAATTATTTGAGGAACTTATTTTCCCTCAGATTATTTGGATTAAAGAAAAGACTTCTTTTTTTTTTTTTTTCAGTAATTTGGGTTTTTATTTTTATTTTTTGTGATATTGGGGACTGACCCCAGGGTCTTCACACTGAGCTATATTTCTACGTCTTTGTATTTTTCTTCTAATTAATTATCTTAGTATTTAATAATTGTATATATCAATGAGATACAATGTGGTATTTCAACACATACATAAAATATGAACCAATCAAGACAAAATAATTAACAATGTCTTATTTTCTTTCTTTCTCTGAGAAAAGACTTCTATTGCAGAAGGAATATATATTTTAATTTGACTTTTAATTCATTATATTTAATGTTATTTGTTTAAAAATACCGGCAAAAAAACTTCTTACAACTGTTGAAAGTATAGAAAAGGGACAATACATTTATTTATTTATTTATTTATTTATTTTAATGTATTTAGTTTTTACAGGGTCTCACTATGCAGCTTGTACTCGTAGTGATCCTCCTGCTTTCAGCCTCCCTAATGTTGGGATTATAGGTATATGCCACTACAACTGGGCTCTGGCTGGCTCAGCCTGCCCTGGGACTGGGGCTGACCTGACCCGTGGTGCCAGGGATTGAACCCTGGACCCTGTGCTTGCCTAATCCGGTGCTTAGTCCACTGAGCTATCACACTAGCCCTAGTATATTTTCTTGATTAAAGCATTTCATATACTAAAGGCTAGAATAGATGTAAGGGATAGAACTCTGAACTAAGTCAGAATAATAGACTGAGCCTTAAATGTAAATGGGGCCTATTAATATACTGTCTAGAAGGACTTGGGCTTATCTCATAGGAATTTCATAAGATTATATACATGGAAATATATACATAGAATACAGTGAGACTATATACATGGAATTCTTTAGAAACCTATGAACTATGACACAAATATGTGTCACTGCATCAAAATCAATGTGTATGATAGTTGAATACATGATCTACCTGCTGGAAACTGTGGAGACCTATCACTTCACTGTATTCACAGTTGGAATGTCACAGTGGTACTATATATTAGCACTTAACTCCAGCCTGATGCATACTATTATGATTAATTCCTACTTTATGGAAAAGCACAAAAATATACATATTCAATATTTATAGACACAGATTATAATTGTTAACAAACTATTACATCATTCAGTGAATTTATTACTATTGAGATCTGGTTTATAGAATGCTCTTACACACACAGAGGGTGGCGTACCTTCAAGTCTGCTAGATAAAGTTGCTGTATCTGTTGAATTTGCATACATGCTTATTAGCATTTTGAAGATAAAACTGAGCAGTGATATCATGGAGCTTACTGAATCAGAAGTGTCTTCATCAAGAGAATTCATTGGTACACATGTAGTGTCTACTGTACTTTACAACTGCAGATCTGTTTTTAGGAAGATAAATAAAAGAATGGAGCTTAAATTCTAAATGTGTACTGTCTACATGTAATGGTTATACGCTGCAATAATAATGAGTAGCTTTTAAAGATTGTACCTTTAAAATGTACATTATAACCAGTATGAAATACATAAACATGTGGGTACATTGGTAGTGACAAAGAATGATTTCTAAAATGGAAAATGCATCTGGGCATTATTTTAATATGTGACTATCCAAATAATGATAAACCTTTCGTAGTTTATCAAAGTGTATGTCAATTATTTGTGAATATTCTCCACACAGTATTAGTTTCAGTGTCCTTGTTTTTCACATTGACTTGCCTGCTATATACATAGTAACTCAGTTCTCTCTCAATATCCACGAGAGTGTATTCCAGAACCCCCTACGCTAACATCCCTCATATAAAAGGACATATTTGCATATAATCTACATACATACTCCTATGTACTTTAAATAATCTCTAGATTACTTAGGATACATAATATATTGAATGTGCTATTACATACATTGTGTTATCAATATAAGTATACTATATTGCTTAGGGAATGATGATCAAAAAATAAAATGTCTGTGCTAGCTTTTTTCAAATTTTTGGTCCATAATTATTTGAAATCTTGGATGTAGAACCCATAGACATGGAGCCTGACTGTGTTTTGTCTCCCTGTCAGACTCATTTCTACTAATGTAAAATGATTGTGATTAATGGCTTTTTACTCAGCATAGGTGGTTTATTTACTTAAAGTTACATTGATGTTGAGTTATAGCTCAACAGTATGGTCTCTGGGTTTGATCACCAGTACTGCAAAAAATAAATAATTTTTAAAAAGTTTTTAGGGCTGGGGAGATAGCTCAGTAGAATAAGTGCTTGCTTGGCGGGCGCAAAATCCTTAATTCAATCCTAAGTATGTATAGATAAATAAATAAATAAATACAAACTTTTTTTTTTTTTTTTTTTTTTGGAACCGGGGATTGAACTCAGGCCCTTGAGCTTGCCAGGGAAGCACTTATTCTGCTGAGCCATCTCCTTGGCCCAATAAATGTTTTTAAATGAACTTACTCTGGTTTTTAAATTTCTAAAATATATCAAAACAGCAAAAATATGTTTTGCAATGGAGTTGGTATTTATTGTTTACAATTTCTGTGGGACTGATAAACAAAATGATTAAGAAACAGAGACTGATTAAGAAACAGAGACTGTTTTGTCTCAAGCTTTCCTCTAGGTTTAACTTGTTTACTTTCATTTTCTCCTTTTTCAGATTTTCACTTAAAGAATCATGGTATGATATATAATTTTATAAACCATTTCACAATCATTATAAGATAAGGAAAAGTATACACTGAAAATAATTCCCAGACATGCTTCAGAGCTAAATACCATTAGAGCTTTTTCTGGAATCTCTTCTTTGGGATATTCAGTGCTGTTAGTCACTAAGTTATGTATGTCTCTGCTTTAGGACATAAATGTTGCCAGCTCTGCTCTCCAGAACAACATACTTTCAAAATCCCTTGGAGACTAGTATCAAAAACAAGACAAAAAACCAAAACATTTTTCTAATGAATGCTGTTGAGATGAATATTATGTCATAGATACACATTTGGCATCAAATACTTGAGTCTCTTTTTTGGGGAACTGATCTGTAGAATTTGTGGTATCAGCAAGCAGTCTTTTTGTACAGTAGTTTCTTAGAGTTGGGCTATTTTATCTCAGAATTACTAAAGGGATATCACATTGTCAGATAGTTCAAATAGACTGTTCATTCCAAGCCAGTTAATGCCACTCCAGCATCTTTCAATTTGCTATGTGCTTTCTATAATTGTTTTCACTTTCCATCTTTAAAAATGATATTCATATCCCTGGATCTTATATCTATGTGGAGTTTACAAAATGGACAAATGAATACTATTGGCTACATGAATACTATTGGCTACAGATATATTTTGTGTTTGTACCACATCACTATTGTATTGAGTATAGAGATTAGTTGGTAAATCCAAACATGCTTACTTTGGCTTTTTTACCTTCAGAGGTCATCAGAACGTGAGGAAATCGATATGCCTACTGTGCACAACCTTGTTCCTATTATTAATGACCAGTCTCAATATATTCATCATTTAGAGGCAGAAGTCAAGTTCTGCAAGGTAAGTTTCGTATCAGTTTAATTCTGAAAGAACTTAAACTTGTGAATATATTATTATACCATAAATAAAAATTTGTTATTAATAGTCTTTGTTTATAACATTCCCTTGACAATTGTCTTTCTAATATTATTGAAAGATCGATGTGTTACAGAAGCTTGTGAGGGCATTCTTGACCATGCCCTTTTCAGATTGCTCAATATCTCAGCACTCCATTACTATGTCCAAAGATTTCATAGTTTCCTCTCATATTTCACAATTTTTTCTTCCCACTCTAATTACTGTATCTGAACAGATGGCAAATGCTTTGGAATACCAATTATTCTCCCAGCCTATTGAAGCTATGGTGCAATAATCAGGAATTCTAAATTGGTAGACTGACTCTGTTTCTATTGTCATTACTGAAACTTTTACCTTGATTTGGAAAAAGACTGTCCAGTGAGATATTAATAATAATTATCTCAAAATCAATTGCTTCACCTATAACTTGGGACACCCGAAAGTTATATTGCTTGACTATATGTAGTTTACTAGTGTCATTAATGCCAATTAGAACTGTTCTGCTTTCCCAATGTTAAGAGCTTGAGGATTTTTGTTTGTGTTTTTTCTTCCTTTCATCTTTTCATTATCAGTGTGTAGGTAATACGAATGATTTATATGTATTTAGGGGTATTTGTTTTGCTGCAAGGGGTTGAGTTATCTGATACTTTATAGAAATTACTAGTATCTTGTGTATCCTGCATTATATTTTTAATATTTTGAGTTATCGCCTAAGATATAAGGCCAATATATAACTTAAGGAGCCTTTAGTTGTTTCACTATCCTGATTTTATAAGGGACTTCTACCATGTCAAGTGTAGCTCTTGAAATTCTCAGGGGGAGGATGGAGAAATAAAGATAAGAAACAGAAACCTAAGACAGGTGGATCCCTCTCTTTCCAGATGGGGAAAAGAACTGCCATAAACCACCATAGTGTGTTTATTCATATATTTGGTAGCTTGATGCCAGGTGACATCCTCTTTGCTTAGCAACCAATCGCTTGGATTGCCTCAGGAACGTGTTCTCAGATGGGTCTAGCTTTGCCCCTGCATGTGTGATCAATTTCCAGTTTTAGTGGCTCCCTACAAATTCTTGATCCTAATGTTTAATACTGTGTTTGTTCTTGAAATAGAATATTAAACAGAAGATACAATCATTAGCATATAGGTTTTGAAGATACAATCAGTAATATATATTTTCTGGGATTACAAGTAAAGCCAAAATAATATCCTCATAATTACTACAACCTCCAAGCATAAGGCTGGAGGTACTTATAGTACTTTACTTTTGTACTATATATTTTTACTTTAGTGTTGTAATATCCAGCTATGCATCTCAGTACTTTTTCTGTGGCATACAGGAAACAATTTTTGTGTTTACCTACTTGGTATGACAAATGGCAGGTAGTATGCAAATACACAAAGGTGTCAAAATGGGATCTGGGCAGCACCTTTGTGCCCACCCAACTAGTTTTGCATGTGTTTACCCTAACATTACAGAGGGTCCAGTAGGCCCACATCACTCCAGAATTTGTTAAAAGGAAAGGCTTTCTCTTGATTTTTCTAGCAGAAGTAGCCCAATTCAGTACAATGCACTTGAAAAACAAGATTTGAAAGTTTTGGAGGATGTCAAAATGAACCATGAGGTTACTCACACATGGATGATGAAAACGGTCCATTGTGGTAAAATAAATGCTTTCATAATGAACAGTGCTATGGATGGGTGGTGATGAAGGTGATTTTGATGATGATAATGATGAAAATGATGATGAGGGGATGGTGATAGTAATGATGATGATGACAATGACGACAACAACGATGACAATGATGATTTTGCTGTTGGCCATGTGATCCAAAGTTTCTGTGACAGTCACATGGAACAAGAATCAACTAATACAGACTTAGGGAATGCTTGCTTCAGATGATGAAGAAAACAGCAATGTGAGTCCATGTTTGACAAGCTCAAATGTTATAAATTGGCCACAGAATCAAATGGTACAATCTAATGTAAGAACTGGGTCTGAAAATATAGTGAAGTCTTGCCAGGGATGAAACATATTGGAAAGAACACCAGCACTGCCATTGTGTGGTGGGAAATTGTAACAAATAAAATGCTACAAGAAGCTGTGAAATACACAAAACCTGAAAGAAAGTAAAAGGTTCTATATGTACCAATAGCCATATTAAAAATATATTTATTATGATACTAGCTGAACTTAAAAGTATTCAAAAAAAAAGTATTCAAAAGTTTGCTTTACTTAGCACAGATTTCTTATGGCACTCACAACATTGTAAAAGACTTATGGAAAAGCAGTGGGTCAAAATATGACATAAAATTTATGTCTTTGTAGATACAAAGACTTATTATGTTCTCAATTTTGACATTTATGTTGGAACTCAGCCATCAGGTTCTTACTCATATAGCAATAAACCAAATAATGTTGTGAACAGACTTGTTGCTCTCACCTCCCAAACTAATGAGAATGTAACATTTGACCACTGCTTTATCGGTTTCTGCTTGATATTACATTTGCTAACAGCACAAGTTGACTAGATCAGGGACTGTACATAGGAATAAAGCAGAAATTCCAAGTGAAATGTTGCCCTTTCAAACAGAAAATTGTATAGTGCAATCTGTGGATTCCAAAAAGATATAACAATGGCCTCCTATACGGCAAAGAAAAACAAACTGGTATTGCTGATGTCAACATTTCCCTATGATGGAAACACTGATAAATTTTCAACAACAAAACTGAGTGTGGAGTAGATATTATTAGTGAACTATGCAGCAACTATGATGTCACTTGAAACACAAAGCATTGGCCAATGGTTGTGTTTTACTTCATCTTAAACATAAAGAAAATTAGTTAAATTTTGTTAGAATCTTGAGACTGGAGCTCAGAAGAGATCATTTTTTAGCAGAAGAAAAACAAAGTGTTTCTGCTCAGGAAACTACACAAAAAAATTGTGGAGGGGCTGAAGAGATGGCTCAATGGAATAAGCGCTTCCCTGGCAAGTGCAAAGTCCTGAGTTCAATCCCCGGTTCTGCCAAAAGAAAAAAAAACAAAACAACAACAACAAAAAAAAAATTGTGGAACACACTGGAGAGCTGACAGGTGAAAAACCAGGTACAGTATCACAAAGACCTCCTATAACAATAAGAACACAAAAAAAGTATTAGCTATGCCCTATAGAAAAGGACAGGAAAACAAATATTCAGGTATCAGTATATGTGATACCACTGCCTTGTGTGTGACAGTTGAAGCAAAGCTTGTTTTTGTGATAGACTTTTGTTTGTGTTTACACTGTAGTTCATATAGCTTTTTATTACTTATATTATCCTTTAGATTTTGTAAGCGAGTAGACAACTGATGTAAAAATGTTGATGTATAAACTAAACACTCATTACATATTTGGTATTGTATTTTATTGATATCTTATTTCTCTGCTAAGTGCATATTGTACAATATAGTAGGAGCTCCTGACAAAACAGCAAAAGAAGTGACAAGATTACTCCCACATAGGAAAGGAAAGCTAACCACACATGTTGTCAGCATAAATGAGACATATGCATGTAAATGAAATTGTCATGTGTGAAGACTTGTCTTGGGTATGACAGTTGAATCAAGCTTATTTTTATGGTAGAGTTCTATTGATATTTTTATTGTAGTTCACATAAGAATTTATTTCTGATGTTATATTGTAGGTTTTGTAAGGAAGTACACAGCTGATATGAAAATGTTGATGTCTACTCTAAATGCACAATACATATTAAGAACATAATAATTTATTTTATTGACATTTACATTCTTCTTAATTACACACCATACAATATAATAAGAACCTTCTAACAAAACAAGACCACTGAGATGTCAAGTATGTTCTACAAAAAAGCCAAAAAATCAAAACGTGTGTTGTCAGTATAAGCTATACATGTGTACGGAACATGCTGTTGTCATGTGTGCAGACTGTCTTGAGTGTGATAACTGAAGTAAAGATTATTAATTTTTGTAGCATGGAATTAGAATTTTCATTGTAGTTCACATGGTAATATATTTCTGATACTCTTTTTTATTTATTTAGCACCAAAAAACAGTCAATATTAAAATTTTGGATGCTTTTTATAAACACTCAAATATTAAAAACTCAATACTTTATTTTGTGATATTTTTCTTGTTCAGTGTTCATTGTTTAATAAAATACAAAATTAAAATTCGTAATTTGTCAGTAGAAAGATTCTAAAGAATATTCTATTCTTGATACCTTGAAGACAAAATGAATCTTATACTCCAAGCAAGAATCTATTAATCTCTAAGATGCTTTGAACAAAACATAAAAGATATAAAGAAGTAACTTGCCATCTAGTTAGGAATAACTAGTCTTTGAGTACCATAGCAGCATAATAGAGAATATAATGTTGCCTGAGTCACTGTTTTCATTAGTGAAACACAATACCTGATGCTTACAAATTCAAGGATCAGAGCTTTATTTTGGCTCATAGTTGCAGAAGTTTCAGTTCATGATTGCCAAGCTAAAATACAGAAACAGCATAGTAGAAAGTAGAAAAGCTACTTACATTATGTCATCCAGGAAGCAGAGACAGGTAAGGAGTGGGAGGAAGATACACCCTTCTGGGTGCACCCCCAGGGACTTTCCTCTTCATGAGACTTCATGTCCTAACTGTGTATCCAGCTCTAAGTTTGTCAGTGCGCTCACACATTCCTGCTTCCTTGAACCACTGGTAGTGCATGCATCACTGTCCCATTAGGCATCTTGTGCCACTGGTGGTACGTGTATGACTTTATCATTGGGCAACTTGTACTATCCAATGGGAGTATCCCATGCCTCTGGATGGGATAATCACGCATGTATCACCACTATTTTAGAACCACCCAGCAGCAGGACATATGAAATATAGCCCCATTGTGACTATGTTAATTGAGTGATGAGTATAGTGCCCACATGATACTATAACTTCCAAAAACCCAACTTTTGAGCACATGAGGTATTTAAGGGACATTCTTGATCTGGACTGTAACATCCACCCTTGGCCTGAAGAAACTCATGTCCGTTTTTTATGCAAAATACATTATATCTCTCTATGAATTGCTAAAGTATGTTTCAACATTGCTGAAAAGCCCAAGTCCAAAGTCATCTCTGAAACTCAAGGCAAACTGTTAGCTGTGAGCCCCTATAAAAATCAAAATGAAAATTAATCACTACCAAAATACAAGGGTACAAAGTAAATACTCTAATTCCAAAAGGCAGAAAGCAGGGGATAGAAAGAAAAGGACCAAAACAACAACAAATCTAGCAGAACAAACATTAAATCTTGTTGCTCTGTGTCGAGTGCCCATGGCGAATTGGGACACAATGTGGACTTCAAATATGCCGGGCAGCACCACCCCAGAGTATTGCTGCTTGCAACTGTCACAGCCTCTTTTTTTTGTGGTGGTTTCCCTCATTGTAGACTTCTTCAGCCTCATATTTACAGCTTTATGCAGTGTACTCTCAGGACCTCACTGTCTGACATGACTTCTTCTAAAATCTAGGTGGAAGTCTTCTCCACGCCAAAACTTGTTCATTCTGGATTCACGTAAAATCAGTATCATGTAGATGATGCCAAGATCCCCACCCTTTGACACCCTCGTAGCATACCTTCAGAGGTTTCTGAGTACTATGAAATGAGTTCTGGAAATCCAGTTCCCTAAATAGTCCTTCTCAGTCAGGGTTCCGTGGGCTGTCTTCTCAAAATCTTTTCTGGAAGAGTAATCTGCTTCTCTCACTGTTCTCTTCTGTCTGGCTACAAGTGCATAGATAAGCACTTCATTTATCTATACTTTTATCACACAGTCTTCCTCTGTGTAGTCCTCACAAGTTCTTGACATTATGTCATAGCAATAATATAATTTATCTTACTTTTCAGCAGTCTACCTCATTGTTAAACAAGTCTTAAGTTAGCTATCTTAAGGTCTTTGAATGAGCCTCAATCCCTTGGGAAAAAAAATTGTCAGAAACTACATATATTTGTGATATTGCTATCAGCAGGCTCTTAACTTGCATACCTTCAGCCTTCTCTGTGTTTATTAGCTAATATTTAGGTTTCTTTTCTTGTCTAAATATAATATTTTAGGGAACTTATCAAGAACATATTTCCATACTTCATATAATGCTAGATCCTCTAGTAATCATAAATAAAAACATTGTTTAAAAATGTTTAACGTACTTGGTTTCTGATTTTTATAGGAGGAGCTATCTGGAATGAAAAATAGGGTACAAGTAGTTGTACTCGAAAATGAAAGACTCCAGCAAGAGCTGAAATCTCAGAGACAGGAGGAGACAATGAGAGAACAAACACTTCTGGATGCATCTGTGAGCATTTAAAAAAAATTTTTTTAAATTTATTTGGTACAGCATCTTGCTATGCAACTCAGACTTGTAGGGATCCTCCTGTCTTAGCCTCCCCAATGCTGGGATTACAGGCATGCACCACCACATGGCTGGCATGGTATGTGTTACTGGGGCTCGAACCCAGGTCCTTATGCTTGCCAGGCAGGTGTTCAGACCACTGAGCTATCTCCCCAGCCTACTGTGAACATTTTTATTTTTTTTTCATAATTTTATTGATAAACAAATAGCAGTGAGACAGTTTCAAATCAAATCGCTAGGACAGTTTCAATAGTTAACACACTGTATACATTCTTCTTAGTGGTTAATTGCTGTACAAAATGCGGACTTGAGATCCTATTTACAAACACCGTTAGAACAAATCGTTCTATTCATTAAGAGAATGTAACTATATATCTATCCTAACCACTTTGAATACACAGATACAAAAGGGACATTCATCTGTATACCCTTTTTTTGTTAAGTTCCATTATTTGAATATTATAGGTGTGTAAACTCAGCAAAATATTCTAAAAGAGTCCAGTAGCCCATACTAGCATTGGGTCTTCTGTTTAACTGGCAATGTCAGAAATTGTTGACCTGAGTCCCCCACAGCTCAACATAACAGCATGGCTTTACTTCCTATATTTCGTCTTCATACTTTTCTACTGGATGGTTAAGACCAAGGTAAAGCAGGACCTGTGCAACAAGAGTTGTAACTTTTGGGTCTGAGAAGGTCAGTGAAATCCCCTCAGGATTTATCCTGAGATCCTGTACCTCAGGTACTGTGAGCATTTTTAAAACCACAAATTCTGTTTTAGTTTTGATATTCCTCTATACTCTAGCCCAGTCTTCTGAACTCCTTAGATTCTCTCCTTGATATTTGGCCAACTATTATGCTGGTGTTTGCGTGATGTATCAAAAATGAGAATTGACTGTGGTGGAATGTATTCTCAGTTAAATCATGTAATGAGGCCTAATATTTACTCTAGTTTCTTCTCTGGGCCTACCATTGATGTTTTATCGTTATTGAAAGAGTGAATGTGAAAGCAGAAAGTGTATTATGTAGGAAAAACTTTGTTCAATCTAGAAAGATTTCAGAATGTACCTTAGATCTTTGTTGGATTTCTCTGCATTTTTTGTGAGTCCTAATGTCTAATATGACTAATCAACCATATGGCATAGCAGAAAGCAGATTGTATTAAGGGTCCACAGATCAAAATGTCAGTCTTAATCATTGTAAATTGAAACCGATTTCAGCAAATAGGTTTGTTAGTTTTGCCATACTGCGGACTAGGGTATAACAGATGGTTTGTAGTATGGCTAAACCTCCTGGGTAATTCATTTACTAGCAATTTGAGAGGATTTCCCTATATCAGCAATTAAGAGCAGGGGTTCCTTGACTTCATGCTACACCCTGACAGTGTGCTTCAATTGGTTGGCTGGGTCACAGGAATATGAATTCTTGTCAAGTTGTCTGAGTGATTCTAGTATCAGTTATTTGTCATTTGAAGAAGGGTAGATCAGATAATCTCTCTCACAGAACTCTTGTGATAATATTTTTAAGTGTTTAACATCTTCTTATGACTGGTCAGAGATAACTTTTAGATTGTGCTTTTCACTGTTTTGCTGTAGGACACAGTTAATGACAGATGTTCTGCTTTTTGTGACAACTTCAACTTTCCATGGAGAAGTTTCTTTTTTTGATTTATTTGAGGTACTAAGGATTGAACCCAGGAAATGCTAAGTTACATCCTCCATGATCCTTTTTTTAAAATTTTGAAATAGGTTTAACTTGGCAAGGCTAGTCTTGAGGGCTCCTAAGTGGTTGAGAATATAAGCACGTGCCATCATGCCTGGCCATATGGAAGTTTTAGCCCTTGCCTGTTGCAGCTTTACTTTGTAATGACTTTGGAGGGTTGATTTAGTTATATTTAGTAAGTAAGTCTTGATGTTTTACTTAGTATCTCCTCATTTTGTTTTTGAAGAGTTTTTTTTTTTCTAATCTGAGTCATTTTATTTCCAGTTGAGTTATATTTGTCAGAATTTGTTTTTAAGAAATGTCTGTATTAACTTGAAAAATAAAGTAGGTTGATTGGTATTACAGTTTATCTTTCCACAATTACATTTAAGTTATTGACCACTTACTTTTCCTTCACTACTTAACTTTTTTCTGAAGATTTATATAATTATTATTAGTCTTTTTAAGTTCTTACTTGCTTATTGCTTTAATGTCAATTTGAAGACGAAAGAACATAAAATTTCAGTAAAAATTACCTAGAAGTTGCTCATTAAGAAAATATAGTCTTTTGCTTTCCTTTGAAGTATGTATACAGTTGGCACACACTCAATTATTCATAGTCTTCAGTATTTATACTGTGCCAAGAAGAGGGAGAAGAGGAAGTGAAGTGGGAAAGGAAATTGGGCAGAGCAGTGAATCAGAGGGCAAGACGAGGGAGTAATTCAGAGGGGAAGGAAATGAGGATGACAGCACACAAGGCTGGTAGCCTGAGCAAAGAGAATTTGCTGAGGAGAAGCACAGTCATAATTATAGAACACACAAGGTTACTGAGAGGCTTTGTACTCTTTTCTGTAAATATGAACTAATATGTACTACAAATACTGATATGAGCATTGCAGATGTTTCCAGTGACTATGGTGTGGATTTTAATGCTATCTCTTCTGTGTTATTTATTATTATAGAATTGTTTTTCCCACTTTGTACTTGTGTACCTAAATTGAGGCATTTCAGCAATGTATGCAGGGTATGGTATGGGGAATTCTAATATGAACAAAACTTTCTAGAATTTCTTAAATATAAAGATCCAAAGAAAATAATGTACTTTTCCAGGGGAAAGATACTTTTTTAATGAGTAGATTAAAATGTTGACACTGGAATTTGTCAATCCTATTGCTGACTTTTGATTTTCAGTATTTCATAATGCCGTCTTTAGAGTAATAACTGAAACAGTTACATAGTAATAACTAGTATTTACTGGTAGCTACGTGACTCTAATACTCCATGCACTGTATAAGCACCTTATGTGATTTTAATTTCACAATAGGCACACAAGGCAGATGCTATTATTTGTATTTTTAGAGGAAAAAATGAAAATGACAGTGGTTAAATAATTTAAATAAAACGTCTAAATTCACACATCTACAAAATGCCCAAGTAACGAGTTAACCCAATACTGTCTGATTCCCCAAATCCATTTACCTAACCTCAAATTATGCTGCCTTTCTGGATAAAAAGAAAGAGTTCATCACTGTTGAATGAAAGCACTTTCATTTGCAGAGACTAGACGTTTCCCCTCCCAGAGAAGGGAAGACTGTCATTTTTGGTGTCTCTCACTTCTAGCCTCGGACTTGGATGGTTACCAGCAAGGCTGTTAGCTTTTGGCCTAGTTTATGAAGCTGAAAAAGCAGATGATTTTTTTTCATGGTATGAGGGATATGAACCCAAGGATAGGCAAGCATTCTACCACTGCATACACCAATCACCTTATTTATGTGATTTTATTTTGAGAAAAGATCTTGTTAAATTCCCTGAGTTAGCCTCAAACGTGCAATCCTCGTGCATAAGCTTCCCGAATAGGTGAGGTTACAGGCATTTACCTCCAGCTTCTAGATCATTTTTTAAAAACTGAAATTATTCAAACTATCTTTCATTTCTATCTTTATTTTCTACCACTGTTCTATAAAATTTATCTTCAGGGAGTGGTTTCTCTAGAGTTCAAAAATGATATTAAAATAAATTATTTAATAGAAATTTTAACATCTATACATTTTCACTTGGATTTTTTTTCAAAGCAGAAAATTTCTAAGCCATTTCTTTTAATGTTTGGTTTTATGTTTTCCACTACTAAATTTCCTTCAATTAAGAAATATGAAATTTTTAATTAGCCTCAAGATTTAATATGTATAGTTTTTTTGTACCTTAATTAAATGCATTCCAGTTTTAGAAAAAAAAAAACAAAACAACTATCTGTGAAAGAACAAAGTGGGCTGGCGACGTAGCTCAATGGGCTAAAGTTCCTGCTGAGGCAAGCTTAGGCAGGCAAAGTGGACTGCGGCTCATTCCCTGGCACTACATGTGGTGCCAGCTCCGCCTTCAGGGTGGGCCAAACCAGCCAAAAATAAATAAAAATAAATCTGAAAACTTTTAAAACAAAAAATTACATTAAAAAAGAAAGAACAAAGTATCCCATTAGAGTGACACTTTTTCCCACAAGATGATAGTATTTTATATCCTAAGTTAGATTGATCTGTAAACTTTCTGCAATTTCTCTGTAGCAAATTAGAACCCTCTTCTGCATTGAGCTCAAAAGCAACTTTGAATTCAATAACATGTTGGGAGATTTGGCCCCACCTATAGGAGTGCAACAAGGTCATGAGCATATCATACTACCCTCCTCCCAAGGCCCTTATTTGATTCTCTATTTTTATCTTCTGATTTGCATCATCTTGTAATTTAACTCTAGTAATTAGTGAACCCTACTATCAGCTCCATGCTCTTTCACATCTGTGAAAGAGATGCATGTGGCCTTTTCTCAGATACATGTGGCCTTTCCTCTTTATAGAATGTTCTCCCACCTAGATATCATGTCAGTGTCAAAATTTCTCCTGATAACCTTTTGTCTCACTCTTCTCTCCTTGCCAGGACAAATACCTGACACTCAAAATGAAGGAGGGAAAGGTTTATTTAAAAGCTCAGAATTACTGGAGATTTCAGTCCATAGTCAGCTGGCTCCAAGGCAGAGTGGCACAGGGCAGAAAGCATCCATTCATGGCGGCAGCAATGAGCAAGAGAGCAAAATAGAGGAGTAGCCGCAACAATAGCAACAAAGAGAAAATCTGTCTCTCTGTCTCTCTTATGTTACATTCAGGCTATCCCCCCCAGACTGGGGGAAGTACTCACACTCTTAATCCCAGCAGTACTAAGACCCATAATCCCAGTGGATCATGAGTTAATCTCGGACTCTAGAAGTCCCCACATCATGACTGCATGAGGCTTTGGGAGAACAACTAGACACAAACCATAACACCTTTGAATTTCCACTTGCTGTTAATATCCCTTCTCTCTTCTTGCATAGTCCCTCATGAGCACTTCCGACCAAGAACTTACCTATTAAATGAAAATCATCTTTTTTGGTGTTTGATTCCCTCATTGGACTATCAACCCTTCTTGGCTGAGATTGGTCTTGTTCATTTTTTCTCTTGGAAGTTTTTGGCACAATTTTGGAGTATAGTAATTGCTGTACACATTTACACTAAAATGCAGCAAATATGGAACAGAATCTCAGACTACTACTATGGATGAATGAAATGTACCGCATTTTAGAATGATACAATACTGTGGTATACTTTAGTGCTGGGGACCTTATGAGTGCTACATCTTTTATGAATACTATAAATTTGACCCTTAGCAAGATTTTCAATAATTATTTCAATAATTATTTGAATTAGATTAATGTATTTTAGACCATTTTCACACATAAATTTATCCTGATCTTTACATTGCATATGTCATTGAATGTGGAGAGGGTGGCAGAGTACAAACTGACAGTAGGTATACCAACTTCAACCCAAAGACTTGTTTGTTTGTTTGACAAACTTTGAGCCCATATTTCGCTGAACTAAAATTCTGTCTTGTCTTTTAGAAAGGGTCTGGTAATAATTTGCATTCCTACATGGAAACTGTTGATTGGAATTTAGTAGTGGTGGCTTCCCTTGCATAAAGCATATTTCCTCTGTTTGCCATGATCCCTACCACTCCTTTCAGAATCCACAAGTCACTTCTCTTTATCAGCATATATGTGCTGTTTTTTTGTTATTGAAGATGAAGGTTTTGATTGAAAGACATAACTGTATAATGGTTTAAGAGATTCAAGGAAAAAAATATTCCTTATTCTGTACTTATACCACTTCTGACATCAAATGTTTGGGATTTTTTTCCCTACATGAAGTCATTTTCCATTGTTCTGTAGACACCAACTCAATAGCCGGTGATTGAATTCTGACACTAGCTACTCAGAGTGGCCATCACAATCCAAAGATTAAGGACTCAATTTCACAAGACTACTCCATCCTTTACATGCCAGTAACAAGTAGTCAATCTCCATGTTACTCATAATTCTGTCTGACTGGGGTACAAATTGAGGGTTCCTGCAGCCCATTCCTCTCATTGATATTTTGTTATAAAGCTCAAATTACTTAATTAAGCATTTTACTTGCTGTCACTGTTTATTGTAAAGAATTCAAATGAACAAACAGATAAAGTGGTACATAGTCAAGGTCCTAGGCCTTGGTCCCCAAGCAGTTGAGGTGTGCCACCTTCTTGGCACATGGCTGTGTTCACCAACCTATCAGTTTTCTAAGCCCCATTACAGAGGATTTTGTGGAGACTTCATTACGTAGAGATGATTGATTAACTCATTGGCTATAGGTAAGTCAGTCTCCAGCACCTTTTTCCTCTAAAGAAAAGGAGTGTTCTAGTCCTCTTGTCATGCAGTGATCTTTCTGGCACCCTCAAAAGCTATCTGAGGCCACACCACCAGTTATCTTATTATTATAAAAAAAGATACTCTTATCAGTATGAGGATTCTAAGGGTTTTTTGAAGCTTTTGAGTCAAGAACCAGGGACTAATACCAAATATTAAGGCAACAGATGCTGTCCCTCCCTTCTCTGTCTGTCTGTCTGTCTGTCTGTCTGTCTGTCTGTCT